TTTCCTAAATCAGCTTTGGCTTTTCTTTTAGGATAGTGATTATTTAGGTAAGTAACACTTGACTAGTTACATATCATGTAACTCCTCACTTTTGGTGAACAACTTTTGTTCAAGTCATCTCATGACTTATCCAAATATTTAACCTCTAGGTTTCTAATCCTATTAGAATAACCTAGCTAAGTTATTACCAATATTTCAACTGGTGAATATCACTTGCTTATTCTTCGCGTTTAACCAAGATAGATTTATGTGCCAATGCTTTGGAAAAGCCCACACAATATCGATCAAAGCCTTAACGAGGGTAAATATTGGACGGTTAAGTTAACTTAGATTATAAAGAGGGATTTGCGTAATTATCTCATCATTGTTCATTTTAATATTAGGCCCTTATTGATCTCATCATATTTATTCTTATTATATCATTTGATGCATTGCATACATAACAAATATAACAATAAATAAGATGCAATGGTTATAGCCCAAAACAATGACTAAGGTGGCCCATCCCAAGCCAATGGGAGAACCAAGAACCCTAAAGACTAAGACTACTCTCTAGGCATCTTCTCGCCATTCTTCTGCTCCTTGTGAATCTTCATAGATTTACAATTTTAAAAGAAACTCGTTTTACATACGAGGGAGTAAGATGAGAAGAGAAATACAACAGAGATATAGAAAGACACGACTCGCAGACCGTATTTCAAAATAAACCATTGTGAATTGAACAAGGGCTATAACAATGTATATCAAACACCGTGCAAAACAAACATATCATATATATATACACATTGTTACGCCTTTGTTAAAATATTAATATGGGCTTTCAATTTGTACTGCTGATAAGGGGTCAAGGGGCGGAGCCCCTAGCACGCTTAGGACGTCGCGGTACGGTCGGCAGGATTTTTTTGAAAAACAGTGCTTCTCTTTCTATGGAAAAACTTCACGATTTGATAACAATTATCAACAGAATCGTTCTTTTGGGATTTTCAATCCCCAAAGCTTTTCTGCATCGAAACAACCATTGTTCCACTGCTAAATGCGATCTGCTATCGCACTCCTATAGATCATCCAGTAATAAATCGATTGATAAACATATTAACAAATTAATCGTTATGGGTATCGATTCGAACAATGATATCAACATATTTACCGAAATCGATAAAACTAGAACATGCATCTCATACATATCGCATCAACTAAAAATTTAACCCAAAATCAGATCGTACAAGTGGCTCTGATGCCACTGTTAGGACCGTCGGCGCACCCCATGGCACAGCGGAAACAAAACTCGACGGTCTCACCAGCGATCCAAGTACGAAAAACTAAAATCGGAAGGAAGAGATGCGAATACTTACAGCGGGTTCCTTGGAAAACAGCAAGGAAAGCAGTGAATTCTGGTGGTGTAGATCAGTTCGAATCGTAAGCCTCCACGAAATCACGTCTCGGCCTCTACTCAGTTCACCCGATTGAGAGCAATTTTGTTTTCCCCAAAACAGTTTTGAGAGAAAGTGGCTAAAGGTTTTGTGTGTGTTCTCCCCAAAACGGTTGCTAGACCTAACACACCCTTTTATAGCCAAGTTACCCTAGTCATATTAGGGTTTTTATTATTTCAAATTAATTAAATCTATATTTAATTAATTAGAATTTAATAATCCTTTTATATCCAAGTTACCCTAATCATATCAGGGATTTTATTATTTCGAATTAATTAAATCTATATTTAATTAATTGAAATTAAATATTCGGGGATTATTAAAATATATATACTTAATTAACTCTATATATATTTTAGTAACGTGCAACAAATTGTACATTTTTGCTCGTTTCAATCTTAGGGTGTGACCCTGTAGGTTCTTGTAACATTAGAAGTAATTATTAGAACAATTCTAATATTACATACAATGAGTGACATCTAGCAATATATCATTGTCACCTAAGTTACAAGAAAATATGATTCGATATATCATCTTGGTGATTAACTCTTTTATGTATTATATCCTTATGTCCTTTATATCTAGAATAGGCACAAGTCTTGGAATAGTCACACTTGTATAGCCCATCTATTGTTTCTTGATTTCTAGAGTAGACTTTAATTAACGAATAGTTTATGATATCTCATATCAACTTATTCGAGCATGGCTATGCGTTTCTAGTCTTACTCAATCAAGTGGCCTATGATATATTTCCTATTATGTAGGAAGGACATATCATATCTTAATCATACATATCCACTACATATATTGAGATATATTCAATAACAGTCTTTATAGAGCAACCAATTACGGAGCCTGTTTAGCTGCATCAAAACATACAATAATATATGTTGGGATAGTATTGATCTCAAGTCTGAGGATCATACATATAGCCATCACCATTAGTAATGTTATGACTGTCACATAATAATCCAAGACATATGCTCATGGTGGGTCAATCCAATACATTGTTCTCTAACAATATATAATCATGTATTATTTCTGACATCTCTATGTCAATGACAACTCGTTGTCATCAAATAATAACATGTTAGTCTTGAGCGTATTATTATTGTCCATGCCCATAATAATACTTGACTAGGGATCTATTAATAATAACAATTATGTCATTATATGAACTTTATTATCTTACAGTTTATGTTAAACACATATATATAACTGAAAATAATAACGACAATGCCTTTAATCAATAAAATTGGTAAATAAAAGTATTATTACAATCATCATATGATTGGTCTTTGGGCATACTCTAACACCAACACCGCAATTAACCGAATACCCAACGACGTGTGACCGATCAACGACCTACGACCAAAACCATTATACTTTCGCAACCGATCGAACAACTAAAAATAATAAAAATGAATTTTTTTTATTAGGGTTTAGTTCCCTAAAAATTCTTTTGGCCATGGTAATTGGTTGGACGTGGCTGTCAGTCGTTTGGTCGGCCGTGGCAGTTGACCTTTGGCAGTTTGCATAGGAAGAGAACACTAGGGGAGAAGGGAGAGTGGGAGGGAGAGGGAGATTTGTTTTTATATATAAAAATATTTTATTATTAATAAATTAAAAAAATATAACGGTAAATACCTAAAATATAATGGAGAAACATTAGTCACATGTTTTTAATGAAAAATATTTAAGCATTAAAATGTTTTTGAGTACATAGTTTAAACACTTATTTTTGTATTAATCATTTTTTGTTAACCAAAATCGAAAATTCTAACACATGTTGTCACGTAACATAAGAGCAGCCTCAGCTGAATTTCACTTCTCTAAATAAATTTCTTAATATTATTTTTAATTAATGTTAAAATAAGTAATTTTCCACCATAGCCCACAAAGTAAAGAACCTGGGGCCAATTTTTTTCTCATTAAAATGCCTTTGTAAAATATGTCGTTAATTCTTACCAAGGAAACAAATGCTGTCGCCGCCATTTAAGACGACGACAACAACAATAACAAAATCATATTCTCATATGTAATGGGGTAAGGGGGAGGTAGGGTAATAGGTTGCCCCTAACGCCAGGTTGAGAGCAGTTTCTGTGGGAGACCTCCTGCAGTTAGAAAATTAAAAATAAAGATAAAATGTAATGCATGTATAAATAAATAAATAAATACATAGTTGAATAGTCTTCATATGCAGTCTTCATATGCGCGTCTGTAATGGGAAGTAATCCCTGTAAATAAATCCCTGCGTAAAAATCTATGCATAAAGACAGAAAAGTAAGACCCGGCTAAATTTTAAAAAAGAGGTAACCTGAAGAGAATGATACAAAGAAGTCAACGATAGCAAGCTATGAGAAAGAATAAAGTCAAATGGGTTAACACCTAAATTAAGACAACATTACTATGCTACCCTAGTTCTAAGCCTTCATAAATTCCAATGACAGTAACATATATAAAGTAGAAGTCATGGAAATTACTTCAAAGACATTAAAAAAGAAGACAGAGATGTTACACCCTATGTCTGTGACCCGCACTACTCGGCTATCCTGGTCTTAAGTCTTCATACTTTCCTATCAGAGGTCATGTCCTCGGTAAGGGCTAAATCCTTCAAATCAGATCTCAAGCAGTCTTTCCACTTCCGCCTTGGTCGTCCTCTCCTTCTGACCGCATCCGACGGTTGTCGCCTAAGGACATGCCCAAACCACCGTAGTCTTCCCTCCCTCAATTTTTCGGATACAGATACCACCCTCAAGGACATCCTAATAGCAGAGTTTGGTGTCATGTCCCACAGAGTCTTACCACATGTCCATCGAAACATTCTCATTTCTGCGGCCTCCATCCTCCTTACATGATTCTTCTTGATTGCCCAACATTCTGATCCATACAGCAGCGCTGGTCTTATTGTCATTCTATAAAATTTTCCCTTAAGTTTTAGAGGCACCTTCTTGTCACACAAAACTCCAGTAGCAGCCATCCACTTTAGCCATCCCGCTTTTATACGGTGTGTAATATCATAATCTATACCCCATCTTTATGTATCATAGACCCTAGGTACTTGAAACAATCCTTTGAGGGGAGAACGTGTCCTTCTATGCATACTTTTACATCTTCATCGTTTTGGTTCCCACTGAAGTTTGAACATAAATACTCTATCTTTTTAATATTGATCCTTAGACCTTTTTTTCTAAAGCAGTCTTCCAGATAATCAGTCTACTATTCAGTTCAATTTTTTATATTATTTAAGCAAAAATGCTGAATCCAACAACAAACCATGAACCATTTAATGCTAATTAATGTGAGTTTGTTGTAAGATTTTATAGGCCGCAGTAGTCTTCCACTTCATTCCAAGTTTAACAGCGCCACTTTTGGCTAACAATTTATTTTCCTCTCTCTCTCTCTCTCTATATATCCAAGTTTGAAAATTATCTTTTACATGTGAACTCATTGACTAAGGAAGAAGTAAAAGTCAAAAGGTTCGCCAAAAGATGGTTATGAAGTGGACCTACATCCACACAGCAAAAAGAAAAAGACAAAAAACATCCTAGAATTTGACTTCATTTGCACATTCACCCTCACCTCCTGCTTCTCTCTTCCGTTTGATTTCATTTCTTCGTATTTTAGAAAACTCGAGGAGGAAGAAGATCTTTACGACAATGGGTATTTTTCCCCAGAATTTCGTTCTTTTTATTTAACTCCTTTTCTGCACCATTTTTCATCATTGATCTCCTTTCTAGGAAATTAATGGAATTTTGTGATGTGGGGTTTGATTTTTGGAGTTAGTTATTGAACCAATGCTTTGTCTTTATCTTTTTTTCAGAGTATTCTTTTAATTTTGTGATGCAGGAAGCTAAAGTTAGGTGTTTGAGGCAATTCTGATGGAAACTGTTGAAGAATATAGATTTTAGGGCTGCTGTTTCTCTTACATAATAAATCTTTGTTGGAGATTGATTTGATCTGTGCTTATGTTGCTGTGGATAGTCTTCATTGTTTGAACTTTGAACCGAGGATCCCAAAGTTTGAAGCTTTCTACGTACTTTAGGTTTCCATTGTGAAAGATTTTGGATATTCTGCTAGATTAGTTTGTTGCTGTTAACTGTGTTTTTCCAAATGGATGATTCGAAGAATCGGCTTAATGATCCTCTTGGTGTGAGCAAGACCGGCAAGAATATAAAGAAGAGCCCGTTGCATCAACCTAACTTTGCCCATAATGGTGCTAGGCTGCAGCCTCAGCCTCAGCCTCAGCCTCAGGTTTACAACATAAGCAAGAACGATTTCCGGAGCTTCGTTCAGCAGCTAACTGGTTCACCGTCACGCAATGATCCCTTGCCAAGACCCCCTCAGAATCCTCCCAAACCCCAAAGTATGAGGTTGCAGAAGATTAGGCCTCCACCATTGACACCGATGAATCTGCCCCATGTTCCAGTTCAAGTACCTGCCCCTGTCCCGGCTCATGCACCATCACCCGGAATGTTGCAACCTATGGTACCCGTAGATGCTGTTTGGACAAACACAGCTGAATCTCCAATCTCAGCTTATATGCGATACCTTCAAACTTCTCTTATAGATCCGAGTCCACTCGGAAAACAAGGTCAACCTAATGCTCTGTCACCATCATCGGGTGGCGTAAATGGTTCGGTACCACCATTAAGGCCTAATCTCTCATCACCAAGGATGAATGGACCTGCCCTTTTACCCTCACCAACATCTCAGTTCCTTCTGCCATCACCTACTGGTTATATGAACTTGCTGTCTTCCCGATCGCCTAACCCTTTGCTGTCTCCCGGGATTCAATTTCCTCCGATGACTCCCAATTTCGGTTTCTCACCCATGGTTCAGTCAGGGATTTTAGGTCCAGGGCCTCAACCTCCGGCTTCCCCTGGTCTCGCGTTTCCATTGTCACCTAGTTTCTTTTCCTTCCCAAGTCCTACATGGAGGGGTTAACGAACCTTGCAGAATTAGGATCTTCTTCATGAGGATCATCCCCTCTCATGGAGATTCAATTGTGAAAATATATTGTACACTGCTGGTGTAAGGAGATGTCACTTTAAAGTAGGTAGGTAGGAAGGATCCCAGGCATAGACAATCTTGTTGAAATATTTCTTGTTTACTTTAATTTTAGTTAAACTCTTGTTTAATTGAGTGTCGTTTAGCTAATAAATTATTCAAGCATTCTTCATATTCATCTCTCAATGTTTTCGAAAATGAAGGTTCTTGTGTTAGACTAAGGATCTGTTTGACACACTGTAATTGATATTTTAAAAAATGATTTACGTAAAATGAATTACACGGAAAAAAGTTGAATGGAGGAGTATCTGTATATAGATAAACCTTGGATTACATGCAGTTTTGAAATGCTCAGTTCTTCAGCCACAATTAAGATATTTTCCATTCAAAACATTTTCTCATTTCCTAATATACCTACAAGATCAAATCATTCATTGCAGTCTTGACATAACAGTTGAGATTATGACAAATTTCATCAAGAAATTTGAAATTAGAATGTCAATGGAAAGCAAACTAAAAAGTCAGATCCATTAGCAACCCAGTATTTTCCAATGTGACCAGTTGGGAGATACCTTCTTCCCACTATTGCTGCATATTATTTCTTTCTTGCTGCTCCTTTTGTGCTTAAGAGGATTCAAATCTTTCTTCTTTTGCGGTAGCATTGTTTCGGATTCTCCCTGCGTCAAAATATCACGATCGAATCGAATATTCTATTTCGGTGACATGCCATTCTCATCAAAATTTGAATGTTGGTTACCTGAATTTGAGACCTGGAAAGCAGAGGTAGACGAGCTTCCTCCTTGCGAAGTTTATTCGAGTTGGCGAAGGTCGGTATCGAGCGAGGTATGGGTTGTGCTCTAGATCCTTGGCTGGATGACGCATAACCGGATGTCGACGTCAAGGTGCTCAATGTGCTACTGGATTCCAGATCCAAACACAGCTACAACAAGGCCAAGATGATAACTAATATCATTCCGAAAACACATGTTGCTAGAAACTACATGTAAACATACTGTAATCGTAAAACATCAAATGCAATATGTATGCAATGCAACACACTGTCCCTTCTATATCACCATACGATCACTCGATGATTGGATATTACCATCAAATAAGGATGCACCAGCGTATAAATCGGTTATTGGAATTCACTATCCGCAAATACATGTTGCTAGAAACCGGACAAGTTATGATGTTAGAACAAATTGTTCTTACCTGAAAAAGTCTATGTTCAAGAGATGTCACCCTGTCCAGCAAAGACCCTTTGAAGTAAGCTTCCCTCATTGCCAAATCTAACGGCAAGCATGCTTTTTCCATCCCTTTCTGCAAACTTATTTTCCCTTCTAAATATTTCATCTGTATGAAAAAAAAATTACCCAAAGCATAAAACAAGAAACTAAATGCAGGTAGATTAGTTTTGGGATTTTAGATATGAGGCTCACCATGAAATCCAAATGATCCAACCTGGAAACCAGAGGCATTGAGGAGTGTTGAGATGTGGTTCCCTTTTCCATTTGATTGTTGAGAGGGGAGATTCGGGATTTGGGGTTTAATATGATTGTGTTTTTATAGTAAAGCAATCAAGTATGGAAGTTGTTACGTATTCCCTCCTTTTTCTGTCAGTTTATTCAGTCTACCTCGCAAGTCATGCGCTAATTCGTTATGGTACGTGGCACCAGACCTAAACAAAAACCTACATGAGGGAAGATACACAGTACATGTCACTCAAATACGGAAACAAGATTTTGTGTTAGGAAGATGAATTTCTAAAATTTTAAAGAATCGAACTTATAAAATTTTAGAAGATAAAAAAAGAATATTAATAAAAAAATTATAAAAAAACACTTAAAATATATGATAATTGAAATTTTTCGATGGACGATTACTCCTACCTGCTTCTCCCTCAATCTATTCCCGAATATGAATGCGGAAGTCGAAAAGGCAGAATGGCAAGAGAGGGTACCAAGCAGCTGCCCAATTATCTTCTGTGCTTCTCCTCCAACAGTTTAAGATGTTAGATCCTTTGCTATGACTCCAATCTGCAGAGATTAAACATGTAGCATAACAATTAATTTGTTAAGGATGAATAATTCGTTGATCTAATAGGAGGAGATATTAAATATTTAAGTAATATTTACAATAAACTATTCAAATGATCATTTAATTATGAGGTTGGTATTGATATGATCATCATATTTTTAATTTTTTCAATTTGACCACATAACTATTTAAGTGGTTTCAATTAAGTTACATGTCATTAACATTTTATGAGAATGTTGTGAAAGTTAATAAAATTGGTATAATTATACGTTTGATCTTCAGTACTTTCATATTCTATCAATTTAGTCTTAATTTTAATTTAATTCAAAAAATTAATACTTCAATATGGTGCCACGTGTCAATTGATTATTGTGAAACATTTTACTATTAACACATGTTACATGCCTCAAACACTAAGTTAAACCCATCGTTTGCTATTTGTAACACCCTTAACTCGTATACGTCTCGATATACGAGTCAAAGATGTCACATCAACTTAAAAATATTTACTGAACTAAAATTTCCCTAAAAATTTGTTTCATTTGAAAACACTCTTATTCTAACTTTAAAAATCTATTTTAAAGTATATCTCAACTTATAATTTATTTCTTTGTTACAGAAAAATAAAATCATTTATTAATCAGTAATTTTGCCAAACCATGTCTTTTCGTAAAATCTTTTAAAAACATAATAATGTAATAAATTCTTGTCATGCATAGATACCGATAAAACTAAACTAAGTAAAATAAACTAAAATATTTCTAGTTTACTATTACAAATTATTTAAAATAAATACGATAAATAGAAACTACTGACATAATTATATATGCCACCATAAGTCAAAAGAAACATCATAGATGTTTTACTGATACTAATGATATGTATGTCTTTAAAAAAAAAAAGCTCCGATAGCTCCTTACTGATCGTACTTATCCTTATTAGAACATACGCATGAAAATCATCACGCGCTAAGTATAACTTAGTGAGACAGTAATAATCTAAGGTGAGAAAAATCTGAAAATATCATAAACATAAATAAAATAATTCAACTTAAAACATTAAACTGGCAAACCAACTTATCCAAGTCGATTTCTTCACTGAGACCTGAAATTTCATTTTAAATCATGAACTCATGAAAATTCTGATAAATCATATCTAATAAAATAAGCATATCATGCTTTCTGCCAACTGAAAATATTCACAACTTGCACATTCATTTTCATAGCACAATGCATATTTATGAGAACATAATATACATGAGTAAGGTGTGCACTATGCACAACATGGTGCAAATCGTAACCGATACTGAGATATGATGCACTTCAGTGCCATCATAACCTGAATAAGCACCAACAGTACTGGAGATTGATATACTCAACATTTAACTTCAATTCCAAGCATCCAAAAATATACTCAAACATTTAAACATTACTCTTCAACTTCTAATTCATTTCCACTTAAATTCTAAAATTTCCATATTCAGACAACTCGTACTACCTTTAAAGAATCAGTATTATGTATTGATATATAGACAGGAATTTAATTCCGTTTCTTCTGTTAAAACTATACTCAAATAAATATTTATACATATAAAGAACTCCTTCTAGTTCATTCTGTACAATTTATGGTGAATTTTCAAAGTTGACCGATAGAATCTGTTTTATGCATAATCTGCTGCCCCGTTTTTCAGACCTTTCCTCGGTCAAAAATTCATATATTTCTTGTATATATCTTGAAATTGATCCCCGTTTGTTTTAAACAAAACTAGACTGATATAAGAACACAAATATATAAAAATAATCTCCAAATCATTTTTATAGAATTTATGGTGAATTTTCAAGCTCACTGTCAGATTCAAAATCTAAATTGTTTTCCTTAATTTGCATCCTTAGGTTCTTCATCAATTCTTACAACACTTCTAATATCAAGAATCAATCTTCAATCATAAAAATCACACTTCCCCTTCATCCACATAAATCACCCACTACCACCATTCAAACATGAAATCAAGAATTAATTACACCATCTTGTAGAGAAAATAGTGTAGGTGAATTTCTTATTTCACGGTTTAGTCTCAAAACTCACTAAATTTGATAAAAAATAGAAGAAGATAAATTGGCTCGCCTTAGCTATGGGTTTTAGCAGCCTGCTGGAGGAGAGAAGAGTTCACAAGAATTCTAAAAAAATCTCTTACTTTGGCCTTTAAAAACTAATTTGTTTATTGATTTTGGGCCAAAAGACTAAATTACCATTAATGAATTCCCAAAATTACACCCATGCCACTCCATGAAATCATCCCTTACATCATCAAAACCATAAAGAAAATATCTTAATTCTAATTTTTCATGTTTGTCCTTGCAACTTTATAGAAATTACAATTTAGTCACCGAATTCCAAAATTTTGACTTAACATAGAAAATTGACCTTAATTCCATTGATCCATGTTAAATTTCACTTTTCTAAAATATATAAATAATATTTCCAACCTTTATCTAGCATCCCTCACAATTTCGTGAAATTCTGACTCGATCCGATTATCCGATTTCAATACCGAACTTTACCTCTTTATAGCTTTTAACACAAATCTCCTACTGAAAATCTGATTCTCACTAAAATATCTATTTTAATCCAAACTAATCATTTACAGGCTAAAATATATAACTTTTAAGAATTACAATTTCGATCCCTATATTTTTTAAAGTTTATACTTTAGCCTCTAAACTTTCAAAACATACATTTTAGTCACTGGTAAAAATTTGGGGTATTACAATTCCTCCCCCTTAAATAAAATTCATCCTCAATTTTTTTTCATACATATTTACATGCATGCATTAAACAGATAAGGATTTTTTTTTCTTCATATCTTCTTCTCGTTCCTAAGTTGCTTCCTTAACTTTATGATTCCACCAAAGAACATTTACAAATGGAATCGTCTTTTCTCTTACTTCTTTGACTCCATGTGCTAAAATCTTTACTAGCTCCTCTTCATATGATAAATCCGGTTAAATCTCAATTTCCTCCGGTGTAATCACATGTGAAGGATCTAATTGATATCTTTGAAGCATAGATACAGGAAATACATTATGAATCATGTCCATCTCAGGAGGTAACGCCAACTGATAAGCTACTAGTCCAACTCTCTTTACAATCTCGTATGGCCCATAAATCTTGGACTCAATTTCCGTTTCCTTCCAATTCTCATAATCTTTTCCAAGGTGACACTTTAAGAAATACCTTATCACCTACTTGATATTCATTATCTTTTCTTTTTAAATCAACATAAGATTTATATATATCAGCAACTATCTTGAGATTATCTTGGATCACTTTCACTTTGTCTTCCACCTCTTTAATCAGATCTAGACCAATCACATCTTAATCTTTTAGTGCATACATATTCAATGGCGTTCAACATTTTTTCCATACAGTGCTTCAAAATGAGTAATTTTAATACTCGATTGATAGTTGTTGTTATAATCAGACTCTGATAAAGGTAAATACTTTTCCCATTATCCTTTTGAAATCAATAACACAAGCCCTTAGCATGTTTTCAAGTATCTGAATAGTTCACTCAGATTGACCATCTGTCTGAGGATGATAAGCGTTGCTGAAATTTAGTCTTGTTCCCAATGCTTTATGCAAAGTCTTCCAAATTCTCAAAGTGAATTTCGGATCTCTATCTGAAACTATCAAAATAGGTATTCCATGAAGTCATATAATTTCTCTGACATATAATTCAACATATTTGTTCATAGAATAATCTTCTCGAACTGGAATAAAGTGTGCTATTTTCGTCAATCTATCCACAATCACTCAGATTGAATCTTTATTACTAAATGTCAAAGATAAACCTATTACGAAATCCATGGTAACACGTTCCCATTTCCAATAAGCAATGGAGATAGGTTGCAACAACCCCGAAGGTACTTCATGTTCTACTTTTACCTGTTGACAGGTTAGACATTTAGAAACAAACTTAGTGATAGCTCTTTCCATACCTGCCCACCAATACCGACTCTTTAAATCTTGATACATTTTATTTCCTCCTGAATGCATAGTCAAAGAACTATAATGAGCTTCAGAAAAAAGGTCTTTCTTCAGTTCTTCGTCATATGGTATGCAAATTCGATTGCAATAATACAAACATCCATCATACTTAATTTCAAAATCTGTCATTTCTCATTTATTTTCTTGCTCCATTCTATCTAGACATTTCTTATCTGTATTCTGAAGATCATTGATTAAATCTAATAGGGAAGGTCTTAATATTAATTCTAAAATTAATGCACCATCTTCTTCCATAAATAGTCGTGCATCTAACGCTTTCACAATAACAAATGTTTTCCAGCTAATTACATCAGCTACCACATTAGTCTTCCCTGGATAATAATCAATAATGACATCATAGTCCTTGAGAAGCTCAATCCGTCTTCTTTGCCTTAGATTTAATTCCTTCTGAGTGAGCAAATATTTTAAACTCTTATGATAAGTACAAATGTAGCTTCGCTCACCATATAAGTAGTGTCATCATATCTTCAGAGCAAACACTACAGCTGCTAACTCCAAATCATGTGTTGGATAATTCCATTCGTGTGCCTTTAACTGCCTTGAAGATTAGGCTACCACTTTACCTTCTTACATTAAAACATATCCCAAACTATTATGGAATGTATCACTGTAGATTACATAATCTTTTCGCGACTATGATTGCACTAACACCAGGGCCTATGTCAGAATCTTTTTAAGCATATCAAAACTTTCTTGGAATTTTTCAGTCCAGAAAAATGGTACATTCTTTCGAAGTAACTTGGTACGTGGAGATACAATTATCGAAAAACATTCTTCACAAATCTCCAATAATATCCAGCTAACGCCCAAGAAACTTCGGACTTTTGAAACATTTTGTGGAGGTTTCCACTCCACTATCGCTTGCACTTT